TGAGCAATTACATTTCTTTAATTAAAGCTGCCTAAACATGGGGACAAACTGTTTTCATCCCGGCTTGATGACTTATTTGTGTTCATCTCGTCTGGTTCTTTCAGATACTTTCCTGCTCGAAGGCCACCTGTACGAGCAGCATTATGAACATAGGCAATGCGGCAGTTGAGGCCCGAAAATCAGATATAATTATGGAACACGCCAAGGACTTCCTGGAGCAGTATTTCACCTCGATAAAGCGGTGAGCTTTAGTACAATACAATATAAGCTTAAGTCGTATTTTACCATACATGAATTTAATTCCTAACCTAAACTTTGAGGCTCCTTTCTATGAGATCTATTAAATATCATAAAAACTATTATTTATTATATAGTAAACCATCCTATCACTTATTTTAATATTTCAAAAGCAAGATTATTTTTTCACCTAGCTAAAAAAGAACTTGACTATTCGTGACTTATCTTATCTCCTACCTCGTATGTAGTACGTCATCTACCGCCCACGAAACACGGTGGAAACAGGTGCGCCAGAGCATTGAGACCAGTGGACATTATCAGCTAACCGAAACCGAGCTAATTTATGGAGCCAAATTGGCCTGGCGCAATTCATCACGCTGCATTGGTCGCATACAATGGTCAAAGTTGCAGGTGGGTGATAACAAAATTGAGTTATGTGACAAATATATTTGCCAAAAAATAATAGGATTTCCAATTTAATCCGAAAAGTGTCTTTAAGCTATACTCACCAATCCTGCACACCCCCTAATTTACCAGGATTTCAATGATTCATGACCTCTGCTTTGCATACAAACCGTGAAATCAACTTTCATCATCCACAAAATATGATAGCCATTCATCAAGGCATATTAGGCTTAAATGTGTGCAATTCAAAAAATTAGATGGGTGTTATAAACGCTGGAGTTGTCAGCCGAATTCGTCGGAGCACAAATCGCAGACAAATATATGCGCCTTTGTCTGGGCCACATTATTCTAGATTTATGCGTGTTCCGAGCAAATGACAAATTTCGAAGACGAGTCAGAAAGGGAATAGGCAAAAACAAAGCTAGAATTTCAAATGCAAATCCTCGTAAATTTTAATTTAGCCGAAAAAGAGATTTATTCACATGCACCCGAATATACACCCGAATATACAAATTATAATGATCAGTAGTTGGCATAGCAAAATGGCTGCCTTTGGCTCTGTGTGTGTGCTTAGTAATGTGTGAACTGATTTGCATTTCCGCCCGAATGACTTTCGTGTGTGTGAGCTGCAAACTCGAGAAGGCAAATCTGATTTCCAAAGACAAGTAGTGAAAGACACCTTCAATATATGCCATGACAAATAAATTATATATCAAATACATGTTTGCAAGTGACTGCTGTATTCATTTTCCTTGAAATATGAAGAAAACCCTGACTTCGTAGCACATCAGCAATTAAATTACCTACTGTTAAATAAAATATATTTACATAGCTTTAATTATTTTACAGGATGTTAATTAGTATAATATTTTTAGAACAATGAAGCTACATAAAGTTTAAAATAATCAAAATTGTTACAAACTGTAATAAACATTTAATTTTTCTGGTTTATATAATTTATGAAAACAAATTCACTTGTTTGTCGCTGACATGCGGTTTTCCTTCGAATGTTTTCTGACCTTATTTTCATTACATAAATCACTACACCCATTAAGCTCTGACTTTTCATTAAATTAAAAAAAGTTCTCAAAGTTATCCAATACCACTCAGACACGATAAAAAAGCGGAAAACTTTCGCTTTAAATTAAGTGAAGTATGTGTGGCATAAGCACTTAAAAAGGGTTCAGTTCGGACCGCTCTACAAACTTAATTAGGAAACTCGTTTTACACTGGTACGCCCCTGCAAAAAACATAACCAAAGCCAACACAGCAGAAAATCGAATGAAAAGGGCTTTCCTTGGACAGAAATGAATTTCAGCTTCGAGTGGCTTAAACATAGAAATCCCATAAAGCCAAATCTAAGGACTTTACTCTGGCCTAGACCCAAAAAAGGGGGTAACCACAGAAACAGGTGTGAAAAAAACAATTGTAAGGGTGCAGATAACATAGGCGAATATGTGGGAGACCGTATGACAGTTAAACAGAAATATTGCAAAAAATTCATTGAAGCGAAATAATTGAAAAAGGGTTTCGGTGTACGAACAAGTTGTGAACAACTCTCTTATACGACGACCCCATGCCAGAAACAAAACAAATATAGAAGTTACACAGAAATTTATGTCACATTTATCATCCGCCCCGTTGGACGACGCAACAAAAACTGTTGAACAGCTTGGGGCCGGGCACCTAAAACTCATGAAAAAACAATTGTTTACACTTTTAGTTTTGTGTCTGCAAATTGTGATGATTTTTTTCTAGTCGCTGCAAGCGTTTGAATATTTTAGGTAATTTTAGCTCTACGGGAATTGCGCGTTTTCCCCCCGCTGGCAGGAATTTTATACATGCATGTGCTCATAAAGTGAAAAGTGATTCGTTCTTGACAAGCTGATATTTCTATAATTTATATGCTACATTTTGCAGGTCTTTGACTGTCGGTATGTGACAACTACGAGTGGCATGTTTGAGGCAATTTGCAACCACATCAAATATGCAACAAATAAAGGCAATCTGAGGTAATTGAATATGTCTGTTAAGTGTTGGAGTTGATTAAGTATTTAGACATTGTTTTCCTAGAAAACGAATAATATAAACAGGCCTTATGAAAGAAAAATAAATTGGTATTTCCAAAGCCAAGTGAAATAAATTCTACGAATAAGTGGCACATTACGTAGGTCCTTTATTATTTTGTTTGACCAATTAACACACTCTTTTCTAAATGCAATTTTCTATTTTCGTGTGAAGCTTAATTGGCAGCTTATGGTAATTAGAATGACCAGTCTATTCTCGATCCCGGGTAATCGTTTTAAGCTACGAAATGGAAGCTGTACATAATTTTTAATATTTCCCTATGCTCTTTGGCACACAAAATTTCAAATTTGCAATAATCTACTCGCTACGTGGCAGGCGTCAGTGGAATGTTTGCGGAAAGTGATTGCCAAATTATGTTTTTGCCCTGCTAATTGGCTAAATTGAGAGTGGAGGGGCTGGCTGCCAATTTGATTCTATGAATATTTCAGTTGCCATCCTTTTCAACTCCCAGTTTGATTGGGTTGGTGTTGCACTTTTGACTTTGCCCGCACATTAGGACCTAAAACGCTTATGGCGGTTGGCAAAAGTTTCATTGAACTTTGTCGAACTCTAACGTTTTGTGTACACAAATTGTTTTGGGTTTGGCTTGCTAAATAAATTGATTTTATATTTTCATCACCGCAGATCGGCAATTACGATATTTCCCCAACGCACAGATGCCAAGCATGATTATCGAATTTGGAACAGCCAATTAATATCTTATGCTGGCTATAAGCAGGCGGACGGGAAAATCATTGGCGATCCCATGAACGTTGAGTTTACCGAGGTGAGTAATCGGAGAACTGGAAATTCTTGTAAAACATTGACTGTAAATACAAATATTTATAATAACACTCGCTTATTCATCTTGACTTTTCATTGCCTGTTTATTTGAACAAGAAATTACAGAATATTTACACCCCGATAAAAACTGCCCTTATTTATTCACGTGGTTCTGCGTAATCCAGCTATCAATTTGCATATAATACATGCATAAATATATGCATTTTTCCTCAGCCATCACAATATTTACACGCATCAATTGGTCGTGCCTTTAAATCAGTATTTCGCGCCCTTTGACCCGTCCGATTCCGTACTGCCCACCCCCGTGGCGACCTTTTGTCGAGCCAACAAGTTGGAAAAGCCCCAGAGCCCACAGCAACGGCCAGTCCGCTCTATAACTCGTTGTAATAAATCTCTTTTTAAATACGCAAAAACCGAACAAACAACAAAGCTGTCAATAAATACGAGCACAAATACGGTAGCAGATGTTGCCGGGGAGTGGGTGGAACTAGTGGTGTGGGTCCGTCAGTTCGTCAGAGTTCCCACCCTTTCGCAATGATGTATTTGCATATAAAACCGAGGCCCCAAAGTATCCCCATTTATTTTTACACATGTCACTTTTATATCCACCACTGGCTGCCCGCTGGCCTTATGCTGATTTTCGATTCCGATTCACATTTGTTTGATGTCCAATCCCATCTCTATCCATCAGGTCTGCACCAAGCTGGGCTGGAAGAGCAAGGGCAGCGAGTGGGACATACTGCCATTGGTGGTCTCGGCCAATGGTCACGATCCGGACTACTTTGATTACCCGCCCGAATTGATATTGGAAGTGCCGCTGACCCATCCCAAGTGAGTAGACAGTCTTCTTTATGGGAGCTATAACTCTAGATGTTGCACTCCACATGGTCTTTATCCATGTTTTTATAGCGTTACTAGCATTAAGCACACATTGTATGGTCTACTCAAGATTTTGTTATCAGTTGTAGTACTTAATATTCCAGTGCTCAATGAAAAGCACTATTTAACATTTGTATTATAAATATTGCCGATCCTTTATGGAAGGTATGACACTAGATTTTATACTATGCGGTGGTATTTATCTGAGTGTTATAAAAACTCAGAGCTAGCAAAAGGCATACATTGTATGATCTACTTAAAACATTTTGTTCAGTTGTAGTTCGAAATGTTCCAATACTTTTATCACCAACAACTCACTGAGAATCACTTTTATTGAATTGATATTGGAAGTTCCGCTGACCAAACCGAAGGGTCCTATTCTTGAACATTTAATACTTTGAGTGATATTAATCCAATAAAAAACATCCATCTAATGTTTTAAGTCTGTAGGTACCAATAACTCAATGATATGTGGTGATATGCTCATCCAAGTATGCATATGCAATGTTTAAATTCTTGCATTACCAATAACTCTATATAATTTGAAAAGATGAAAACTTCGGTAAAAATATAGATTTTATGATATGCTTTTATTTCTTGTACTATTTGAATTCGAAAACAGTCGGCTAATAGTCTGCCACTCTGGCAAAGCCAATACGGTTGTTGCCCTTGTCGAACACCGTGTAGAACTTGCCAATGAAGACATCACCCAGAATCCAGAAGGAGATGTCGGACATGTAGGTAAAGGCGGACATGCAGTAGGTAACACCGTTCTGGGTCACCTTGATGATGTAATCCTTGGGTGCCAGGGTGAAGATGGTGCCGCCAATGTTGAGGTTGACATTGGGCAGGGATGCGATCCGGCCGCACCTTACGAACGCCTCACCACCGCCATTATCCGAGGCGCCCAACTGGCGGTTGATCCTTGTGTAGGCCGTCTGGGGGACCACGATTAGGGAGGTTCCGGTATCGGCGATGGCCTGGCATCCGTTGCACAGCACAACGCCATTGGTCTTGATCGTATTGACCTTGAACTGCCAGTAGGCCGGAACCGAAACGGGGACGTAGGTGAGGCTGCCCTTGTAGAGGCTCGAATCGATGCCTCCCAGGATCAGTTCTCCACCGCGGGCTGCGGTGCCATCTCGCTTGAGGTAGAACGAGGCGACGGGCTGGTCGAGCAGGCCCTGGGAAATCATGTTGTCGAACGGCGGAGTCACTCCGTCCTCGGAGATCGAGGCGAAGGCCATTCCAAGGATGCCCGCAAAGGGAGCATCCACGAAGGTGGTTCCCGGCTCATAGAGTGCTTCGCCGAAAGTCTGATCCTGAATGGTAATGCCCGCAACGGTAACCGTATCGGTCGAAAGGAATCCCGACAGACTACCAGATCCGTATTGGATGGCAAACGACTGACCATTCGCCACGTAGGTGCTGGAAGCCGCCGAGTTGTACTTGTTGTGCCTCTGGCAGGCCTTATTCGATTTCGGGCACTGGGAACTGGGCACCCACAGGTTGGACGATCCCGTGTCGAAGAGGATGTTGAACCTCTGCCCTGGGGTTCCGATTGCGATTACTCCGTAGTACTCAGCGTTCAGGGAGTTCTGAAGGTTCTCGGTGGCGCCCGATGAGCTAGAACTGGTGGTGGAGATCTCCTCCAAAAAGGAGTACTTGCCGGCCAGCAAGGTCTTTTCCGCCCTCACATTGCCATGGGTCTTGGTGAAGTTCTTGTTCGCATGCAGCTGCACGCGATTCAACTTGGCTTCGGAATAGCCGATACCGATCAGCAAAAATAAAACTATAACCTGCCTCATGTCTACGTCTGAAATGCGACTATGACTAGTTTTCAAGTGACTGCGGAATTTAAATAACATCGGCGGCCAAACGCTCCCATATTTTTTGCTCTATCCAGTCCAAATATAGCACCAAAAATTTCCTATATCTGGAAGTCGTTGACGTCCATAAGTTCAATTGGCACACTTTAGCAGACAGAAGAAAAAAACCAACTCTAGTTTCTGGGAGAAAGATTCAAATATTTGATTTTCTCTACAGAGACATCGTAAATTTTATTCAGCTGTTTTGTCACGAGGTATTTGACCAAAAACGCACGTAGGTGGGCCTAAATTGGAATTAAATTATAAGAGCGTTAGGTAAAGAATCTGGAGCTGTCGTCGCCATAGACAGGGTAGTCATTATCATATTTAGAGGGTTTTCTAATATAGCTGGAGTAAGCGTACGTGGAGTTTTTCCTTAGTCTAGCAAAACCAATTCTCTCATTACCCACATCGAACACCGTGTAGACTTTTCCCAAGAAAATATCTCCAAGTATCCATAACAAATTTCCTTCTAGATAGGTAAAACCAGATAGGCACAGAGTTTGATTATTGGTGTCCTGCACCTTGTAGATGTAATCCTTTGGGTTCAGGGTGTAGGTAGTGCCTCCGATGTTCACATGGACATTGGGCAGGTTGCAAAGATTACTGCAGTCCACGAAGGCATCTCCCTCCCCGGAATCAGTGGCGTTCAGTAGTCTGTTTATCGAATTGTAGGCCCGAAGGGGAACCACGATGAAGGAGGTGCCAGTATCGGCAATGGCCTGGCATCCGTCACAGAGCAGGGTGTCCTGGATCTTCACCGAGTTGGCCGTGAACTGCCAATAGGCGGGCATTGAGATGGTAACGTAGTTGATAGAGCCCCTGTAGATACTTCGATCGACTCCCCCCCAGATGACTTCCCCACCAAACTCCGAAGTTCCTTCGCGTCTGAGGTAGACGGAGAACACAGAACGTTTAACCAATCCCTGCTGGATAATGTTGTCAAAGGGCGTGGTAATACCAGCGGATAGAGGTGCCAATGCCATTCCAATAACGCCGTCAAAAGAACTATCCACGAAAGTCGTTCCCGGTTCTGTGATGGCCTCGGCAAAAGTCTGATTCCGGATCACCAATCCGTCTATATCCACCGTGTCTGTGGAGAGGAATCCGGACAGACTGCCTGTTCCATACTGAAGGGAAAAGCCCCTTCCATCAGGCACGTAGGAACTGGAGGCACTCGAGTTGTACTTATTGTGCTCCTGACAGGCTTCGTTGCTCACCGGGCACTTTGCACTTGGCACCCACATGTCGGCGGATCCAGTGTCGAACAGCAGATTGAAACACTGGAGTGGAGTTCCGATGCAAACACCAATGGTGTATTCCCGGTTGAACCCGTTGGCCACAATGTGCGTGGTTTGTGGGGATTGCCTGTCCGTCAAGAAATACTTGGCCGCCAGCACGATCTTTTCGGCCTTAAAATTCGCATGGGTTCGGATTTGGTTGGTCTGCCGAACGATTGTAGACCTCCTGAGTTGTCCCAATGAATGGCCAATGGCCACCAGGATTATAAGACTACTAATTTGGAAGCCCTGTCTCATGTCTGTAGTCTGAACTCAAATGTGACCCAATGTAGAGTTGTATAGAACCTTAAATACTCAATAAATCCGGGATTAATTGATTTGGTTATATCATTATTATGGTGTTCGAAACTTGACGGAAGTTATATGATTTTTTTTAGCTCATCACTTCCGTAACGCCACATAAGTATTAAAACAAAAAAGATTAATGCAGCTTTACGTGACAACGTGACTCTTGAATCTGTTTGCTTTTGTTTACTTATATACTGTATTCAGTTAAAATTTATAATTCATATTCAGTTAATTTTCTAACACTATATCATATTTGAGGGGTAACAGCCTTAGAATTTATTAAAAACATGAAAGCTCAATACATAGAAGCTTAATTTGGCAGAAGTTAACAGACCCTTGCTGCTATATGATTTTCTTTTTTTAACTATTATTTTTAAAATTTATTATTATTATTATTATTAAGTCTTTAGAAAATAATTATTCTCGAGTTAACTTGGCAATTTAACATTTTTCCCGATACTTTTTATAATTCTTCTGAATTATTTATAAAATATAATTCGTCATGCTGTAAACCTTATAAAAAAGCAACAAACTTTATATTTCTCTATAATATTTCCGATCATTCCGAGTTATATACAATTTACAAGATAGTCGTCTCAGCTAGTAATGCTGATTAAGATTGTATTTACTTTAAAGAATCAAAAAAGTATTGAAGATAAATTTGTAAAATTTGGTCCTAAAGGAAATTAACCTAACGAAAATATTTATAAAAAAAAGTAAATTTTGTAAATCATAGAAATTTAACTACAGGTCGAATAATTACTGCTTTTGGTTTTGAGAACCCCCATTAAATAATTTTAACCGAAATAGCTAGCTTTCCAATGCGTTAAGCATCGAAACAATGTCGAGCTTATGTCTGCCGTACATCAGCTGGCCGGGGGATGGCTTGTATGACCAAGGGATTTGCATTCGCAATCGCGTCCTGCGGCCAGTAGACCCGCAATATCAACCGAACTGGCCAAATAAAAGCACCCACCATCCCTTTTTTACACCACCTTGCAGATTCGAATGGTTCTCGGAACTGGGACTGCGATGGTACGCCCTGCCCGCCGTCTCCAGCATGCTCTTCGACGTGGGCGGGATCCAGTTTACGGCCACCACATTCAGCGGTTGGTACATGTCGACGGAGATTGGCAGCCGGAATTTATGCGACACAAATCGCCGCAATATGTTGGAGGTAAGTTGGAGTAAAAGGACGTATGTATATAGTAATTTCAGTATTGATATCCGACCCCCATCGCCCCCCTTCTCTGACATTGTCCTTGCCCGCTGTCCTTGATGTCTTTGTCGCTATATCGCGATGTGGCGCTTATTTCATTATAAGGCCGCATAATGTGCAGACCGAAGGAGGAAGGACCGGGGACTCCCGCCTTTATCATTCCCGGTGTCCTCGCATAAAGCGCTTTTTTCTGGCCCAGCATTCTTTCCACCCGCCAGCAATGTCCCCATGGGCGGTGGGTGAAAACTGGTTAACAGCACTTAAGAACGACGGCTCTTTAAGGCTTGAAAAACGTCGCCATGGGGAATTGTTACAGGCCGTAATTTACAGTACTCTCATGCGAGATACACTTGATTATTACTTGCAACTAAATGCATTAGCACTGCAGTTAAAATTCGATCGATCTCCCCGGCCTAATTAGTTTTCAGCAGCACGAAAATGCCATTAGCACTTCTCTGGAAATCGGGCTAAATTTTATGACAGCAGAATGCATCTATTACAGTTTTACATTTATACGTAATCAAATGTGTGGGTACGACATGTTCAAAATAGTGGAAATGTAGATTCTCTTGAAATTTCCGTTTGGTAAATAATAGATAGCTAAAGAGGGACAATGGCTGATGATGTGAGTACTTAATAAACAGGAAGTTTGAAATGAATCTGTTGAAATTCATCAGAAAATGATATTTTTTGCTTAGTGATTAAATAGTAATAATGTTGCCTTTGTTATAATAAATTACAAATACACCTTAAGAAATTTCAAACCAAATCTACATTAAAACATATAGTCCCTGAATAATTATATTGAGAAATCTACTCCCACACCGTGGTACTAAATTCTAATTAATAAAGTATTTTACTTTAAGTGCATCTGTACTGTACGGTTGCAATGGCAACCAGTTCCCATTAAATTTGTGGTATTTGTCATCATCAAAGTCATTTATTTGCAAGAGTCGTCCACAGTTTTGCCTCCTCCCATGACTTTCGATGGCCTGTGGCTAAATCCATAATTGACATACGGTGTGGCTTCCAAGTGGTGAGTGGAAAGTGGCAGAGGCCGAGGCTTTGGGCCACTTGTTGGGCCTGGGCTCAGAGCGACCACCGCAGTTGTTGGTAATTATTAAATTCTGGCCACAAAACCGAAAAGTGTAATCGAAAATCGACAACGCTATTCGATTAGAAACATTGCCCCGCAACCACGCTCATCCATTACCGATTAGGCACTAACCAAATTGATTTTTAACTCACCGCAGACGGTGGCGCTGAAAATGAATCTGGATACCAGGACACCCACGTCCCTGTGGAAGGACAAGGCCGTCGTGGAGATGAACATAGCCGTGCTGCACTCGTACCAGAGTCGCAACGTGACCATCGTGGATCACCACACGGCCAGCGAGAGCTTCATGAAGCACTTCGAGAACGAGTCCAAACTGAGGTGAGGCCCCAGATCAGCGATTATAGCCGGCGTGTTTGCTTATGGCCCGGTTGGGTTTTGAATTTATGGCAGATCCCAGCCGCATGTTTATGGCTTAACGTGTTTTATTTGACTGCCCCCTCGGTGGGGGAAAAGCGTGCGGAAAACTCTCTGCAGGTGCGAAGGTAAATTTATTGTTTCCAATTTGCTGTCGCCAGCGTTTATGTAAAGTGCACGCGAGACACATAAATGCCGCACAATATGTCAAACTTTTTCCACATCCCAGGGAAAACGAGGAAGTTTCTTTTGTCGTGGGAGTCTAAAATAAATATGTCGTTTTTCGTATTTTATTTGCAAAATGTTAACCACAACTTATTACTTTGTGTGGGTTAAAGGGGTTAAATTAACCGGAATTTATTTTCCACTTTATTTTTATACAAATATTTTACACATAGTCCGATGTCTAATTATGACATGATTCCAGGAAATATGTTCTCTAATTTAATTGTAAGATAATATTAAAATAAATTTGTTACACAATAGGTACCATTCTATTGTATTATTTTGGTCCAATTATAACTAACATGAAACAAGTGCCAATTTTATTAGGTTCCACCCAATTATTTCAGGCAAAATAAGCTGCAAATATTTGTGTTGAAAGTCACAAACCTAAACCAATTGTGGTTAATTTACTGTAGAGCACAAGAGCCAAACAACTCTGTTTAAAGGAATGCCTTTAACCTTAACCTACTTTTCAAAGGGCCTTAAATTGGGTATTTTAAAATCCCCAAACCGCCTTAAAACGCCACCTTCTTGGAACACTAAATCAAAACCTTAAGCCACGTGTCTATTTTTACGGCCACATCAGGTTGGATGGCCACAATTAAGTCAGTTAATGGTAATCTGCCATTTGGGGCACTAAAAATACATTGGCCATATTTCAACTGATGGGCGGAATTGAGTCCAAGGGATTCCGCCACCCACTCGTCAATTATAGGCAATTACTTCTGTTTTTGTTTCTGTGCAGGAACGGCTGTCCCGCTGATTGGATTTGGATCGTGCCGCCTCTGTCGGGCTCCATCACGCCGGTGTTCCACCAGGAGATGGCCCTGTACTACCTGAAGCCCTCGTTCGAGTACCAGGATCCCGCCTGGCGCACCCACGTCTGGAAGAAGGGCCGTGGCGAGAGCAAGGGCAAGAAGCCAAGACGTAAATTCAATTTTAAACAAATCGCTAGGTAAGTACTTACATCACCGCTTACCGTTAACGTGGCGACCTTTGGTGTGTGTGTGTGGGGTCCTGAGGTCCCTCATCCTTACCGTCTGGTTGATGATGATGTTGATGCTCGCATCCTTGCCCGTGTAATTGTGCTCGGTCGTTTTGCGAGCGTGTCACACGACAGCATCAGCAGGGATTAGCTTTTAAGTAGATTACATGGATTGTGGTTTATTGCCCGGGGTTCCTGCGCTGCTCCTCCATCTGCTCCACAGTTATCAAGTCGCCCGGAAAATTTGGTACATTGCATCATCTCTGTTGTCCTCGTTATTGTTATTTTAAATGTTATTTGCCGGGAAACTCCTGCGCTACCTGCTATCTGAAATCTACCCCTGGTTTAGGAGGAGGATGGGGAACATATGAGCTGTGGAAGTTGATTGTTATGCAAATTAAACGTCCTTATTCGGATGGTGAGGTGATATTTGAGGCATTTATAAGCTAGTTTCCGCTATCACAATGCAAAAGTTAAATTCTTCAGAGTTTATTACTGAATGAGAATTTGTTTAAACACACACTGGATGAGAAAGTATTATGTCAAAAGTTGTAAACTAACAAGAAAGTGCAACCTTTGATCTTAACATATATATTTTTATTAACGGTCATACATCTAGATAAAACAATATCCCAATACAATCTTTAATTCACATGATCTCTTTCGCTTGAAATAATATTTGAAGACATACACATATTGTAGAAGCCATAAAATAGCAACCTTTTTACAATACACAAATTTATCTGCGAACAATTGAGTTAACGGGGCAAAAACTATCAGTTTCCAATAGCTTATGCAAATCTGTGGCTATTATTTCCCTACTATTGGCTGAATTGCATTTAATCCTTACACCTATTCACGCATCAATCCATTAATCGAATGCTCAAACAAACAACTGCGGTGAGCCCTAACAAATAAAATCAATTACACAATTAAGCGGGTGGAAAAAAATGGAAACCTGAAAACTGCTGTTAAATAAAGCGTGCAAAATTATAATGATTATTTAACGACCGCACTTTAAATCACTGCATATTAATGGCGTTGTCCAC